CATGCTAGGGAAGAGAACAGGCGTTGCTACCCAGTTGTGTAGTAAATTCCCAAGCCTGTTTGTGTGGCACTGCTCCAATCATCGTCTAGAGCTGGCAGTTGGGGATGTGGTCAAGGAGGTCTCAGGGCTCAATCATTTCCAGATCTTTTTTGACAAACTCTATTCCTTGTTCCATGCCTCCCCCAAAAATCAGAGGCAGTTAGCGCAGTGTGCGCAAGCAGTCGGACAGCGTCTCCTGGTGATAGGGCGTGTTTTGTCCATCCGCTGGGTGGCTTCAAGTGAAAGGAGCGTCAGAGCAGTCTGGGAAAACTACCGAGTGCTTCATGATCACTTCACAAATGCTGCAAACGACACGAGCAGGGATTCCAGAGACAGAGCAAAGTACAAGGGCCTGGATGATGTGCTCACATCTGCAACGTTTGTCAGCAATCTGGGACTGATGTACGATGCGCTCACAGAGCTCAGCGACCTCTCTCGGCAACTCCAAAAAAGAGAGATGACACTGCCTACAGCAGATAGGCTCTTAACTCGATAAATACGAGTTTTTGAATCCATGGTCACCATGCCTGGCCCACACATGACTACAGTTCATACAGCTCTAGCTGAGAAGTCCTTCAAGGGTGTTGCCCTGCGTGAGAATGGCAGGCTTGTACAGATTCATGCAGGTCAGTTTTTCCGCAGTATGGTAGAGAATCGGAGACACAGAATGACTTCCACAACCTCCTCTCATGTCAGCACAAGAGAAATCCCATTACATGGCCGGGAGGCCCGGGACAATCAGCTAATCCAGGACATGAAAGTTATCCATCCTGGAAGTTGGCCTGAAGAGGAGTTAGACGTACAGTATGGGGACGTAGAGGTGCTACGTTTGTGCGAAGTGCTGAAAGTGGACAGAAGAGAGACTGTTCAGGGCTTTCGCGAATACAAGGAAACCAGGGCATCCCGTACACCTGCTGCCATGGAGCCTCTACTGAAAGCAGTCCGAACCATCGCTGTCTCCACTAGTGAGTGTGAGCGGGCATTCAGCTGCATGAACGATATCCTTACTGCAAAAAGGAATGCTCTCTCTGTCAGCCGACTGTCCAGCCTGGTTTTCATTAAATGTAATGGACCATCACTACGACAGTTCAATCCGGAACAGTATGTGAGGTCCTGGCTGGCAAAGGGAAGGAGAAGTGCTGATGAAAGAGCCTGTCCGCAGCAGAGCGGAAATGGTGGAAATCCAAACACCGTGACGACCTCCTAACCTATCAAGCTCTCCTCTCCTCTTTCTCTGCTTCCATCTCTCAGGCAAAAAGCACTTTCTTTCAAGATAAGATCCAATCTTCCTATTCCAATCCTAAAAAACTATTTTCCATCTTCTCCACCCTCTTGGACCCTCCAAAAGCTCCTCCCCCCTCCTCACTTCTGTCAAGCGACTTTGTTACCCACTTTGAAAAAAAGGTTAATGATATTCGCTCTTCTTTTTCTGACTCACCTTTACTCACCGCTGGGTCACCAGACCTTCCTTCCACCAACACACTAACCTCCTTTTCCCCTCTCTCTCCAAGTGAGGTTCTTACCCTCATTACCTCTGCCCGCCCCTACCACCTGTCCTCTGGACCCTATCCCTTCAAACCTCCTTCAGACTATCGCTCCTGATATTCTACCGTTTCTCACCCATTTCATCAACACTTCTCTAACTTCTGGTCACTTTCCAAACAGTCTCAAGGAGGCAAGAGTAAACCCTCTCCTAAAGAAACCCACTCTCAACCCGTCTGATGTTATAAACTACAGGCCTGTCTCTCTCCTCCCGTTCCTGTCTAAATCACTTGAACGCGCTGTCTTTAAACAACTCTCCTGTTATCTCAATCAGAACAACCTTCTGGATCCGCACCAGTCTGGTTTCAAGGCAGGTCACTCCACAGAAACTGCTCTCATTGCTGTCACGGAGGAACTGCACACTGCCAAAACTGCATCCCTCTCCTCTGTCATCATCATGTTGGACCTGTCTGCTGCATTCGACACGGTGAATCATCAGATCCTCCTTCGCACTCTCCAAAAACTTGGAGTTTCTGGCTCTGCACTTTCCCTCCTCACCTCATACCTGAAAGACCGTACCTACAGGGTGACTTGGAGAGGGTCTGAGTCCGACCCTTGTCAATTAACTACGGGGGTCCCTCAGGGCTCTGTTCTTGGTCCCCTCCTCTTCTCCTTGTACACAAACTCGCTCGGATCAGTCATTAGCCCGCATGGTTTTTCTTACCACTGCTACGCTGACGACACCCAATTAATTCTGTCCTTTCCCCGCTCAGAGACCCAGGTCGTCGCACGCATCTCTGCTTGTCTAGCTGACATCTCTCAGTGGATGTCTGCTCACCACCTCAAACTCAACCTTGACAAGACTGAGCTGCTCTTCCTCCCGGGAAAAGATTGTCCAACTCTTGACCTGACAATCAACATCGGCACCTCAGTTGTTTCCCAGACTCAGACTGCAAGGAATCTGGGTGTGACCCTAGATAACAACCTGTCCTTCACTGCAAACATCGCTGCTACAACCCGCTGCTGCAGATACACGCTTTACAACATCAGGAAGATACGTCCCCAGCTGACCCAGAAAGCGACGCAGGTTCTGGTCCAGGCTCTCGTCATCTCACGCCTAGACTACTGCAACTCCCTCCTGGCTGGTCTACCTGCATGTGCCATCCGACCTCTGCAGCTCATCCAGAATGCAGCGGCTCGTCTGGTTTTCAACCTTCCTAAATTCTCCCACACCACTCCGCTCCTCCGCTCCCTTCACTGGCTTCCGGTAACTGCTAGAATCCACTTCAAGACACTGGTACTTGCTTACCGTGCTGCGAATGGATCTGGCCCTTCCTACATCCAGGACATGGTTAAACCGTACACCCCAGCGCGTGCACTACACTCTGCATCAGCCAAACGACTCGTTGCGCCCTCGCTGCGAGGGGGACCCAAGTTCCCATCGGCGAAAACACGTGGGTTTGCTATCCTGGCTCCAAGATGGTGGAATGAGCTCCCCATTGACATCAGGACGGCAGATAGCTTGCACATCTTCCGGCGCAAACTGAAAACTCATCTCTTTCGACTCCACTTCGAGCGTTAGAACGATTAACGAAGCACTTTTATACTAATAAAGGACTGGATTACCTAAAGCCAGTTGAGTAGCACTTGAAATGTTTGGCTCTATGAAACCTGATATACTTATATGATTCTGTTTTCTTCAAGGTTGTGTCTTCCTGGTCGAATGTACTTATTGTAAGTCGCTTTGGACAAAAGCGTCAGCTAAATGCAATGTAATGTAATGTAATGTCCAGCTCCAGCCCCTGATACTGATGTCCCCAAGGCCTTCTGGAGCCTTTTCTAACAATGTGAAGTATATTGCAAAGCAGCTCACCCAGTGAGAAGACTTTTGGCATAATGTGCCGATTTGTACAGATCCTGGAGATAGAAGGACTTCAGACCAACCAGGGAGTTATCTGATCAGCTTGGTGTTCAATGTAACTCTTTACCATGGCTCAGACTTTGTTACTTGCAGTTACAGTTTCTCATTTTAGATTGTGCACATTTTGCATTTGTTTTTACATGTTCTTTGTTCATGCTCTTTATCATTTTTCTGAGTTGGAAAGTTAGATTGCATCATAGTTTACTTTATACATATTTGTATTCTTCAGTGGTGAAGTATATTGCAAAGCAGCTCAGCCATGTGAGAAGACTTTTGGCACTTTTTCGTTTTTCGTTTTCTGAATTGGAAAGTTAGATTGCATTCAAAATGTACAGAAATACTTAATTTTGTTAAAGCTTTTTATAAAAAATGCTTCTGACCAGAGCTTTGTTTCCTTGTCATTAATGTTGAACACCACCAGAGGGGCTCTCACCTGAAAGGTCTCTGCTTCATGTGTCTTCAGCAGAAGATCTAGACTTTGATTGCTATATTTTCAGTTAATATTGACCTTACTGAGCTTTAGCCATATCCGCTGCCTATCATAAAAAATGTTAAGTACAGTGAACCTTTCTAAAATATACAGTAGTAAAGAGACAAACCCACCAGCATTATAGTAGCCAAATTCTTGTTTGTGGGCTGTATATATAAAATTGACTTGAAAAAGTTGCTGATTTTAGAGTACTGGCACCTTTTTCATTCCAATTCAAGCACTGACTTCAGGTTAGAATATCACACGTAGCTATTTTAATTACCTCTCAAACTACCTGAACACAAATATAAACGCAACACTTTTGTTTTTGCTCCCATTTTTCATGAGATGAACTCAAAGATCTAAAACATTTTCTATAAACACAAAATAACCATTTCTCTCAAATATTGTTCACAAATCTGAAAAAGTCTGTGATAGTGAGCACTTCTCCTTTGCCGAGATAATCCATCCCACCTCACAGGTGTGGCATATCAAGATGCTGATTAGACAGCATGATTATTGCACAGGTGTGCCTTAGGCTGGCTACAATAAAAGGCCACTCTGAAACGTGCAGTTTTGCTTTATTGGGGGGGTCTGGGGGGGTCCGAAGACCAGTCAGTATCTGGTGTGAGGGGTAGGATTAGGGGTAGGGGTAGGGTTAGGGTAATGTTGTGAATCGAGTGGCCTGTGTTCGTCGTCCATAACATACGCCTGCCCATACCATAACCCCACCACCACCATGGGCCACTCGATTCACAACATTACCCTAAGCGTTATTAACGCGTTAACTTGACAGCCCTAATAACAATTATAACTTATAACTTAACTCCCACTGTACATTTTACATTTATATTCAATTTAATATTGAATAATCCATTTCTTGCACAATAATATCCAGCATTATATTTGTTACTGTAAATTTGTATTTCCACATGTATATTTTCCACATGTATGTTTTTAACTATTTAATGCTATTCTATTTCAGAAATATTTTGGATTGTTTATTTCTAGTGTTTTAAGTTACATTGCCTTGTCTTTTTATATGTTAGAAATGTATTGTCTCCCACATAACTTGATCCCTGCACTTACATGTGAAGAGGACGAGGACGGTGCGCAGCAACATGTCCACGGGTCGCTCCCATCTCACCGACACACGAGCCAACACAGGGGGGATGAGGATCTCCGCAGGGACGTAGAACTGCAGGGCGAAAGTGATGAAGATACCGAAAGAGTAGAGAAGCTTCACCCCCTGGTAGGTCCTGGGAACAGAGCAGAGAAATAGTCAAATAAACGAGACTTATGTGGCAGAAAAATCAGCTTCTTCTGTGAAACAAGCTCCTAAATGTTTTTCAGAAGGCAAGAAACCCTCTCCACGTTTAACGAGGACATATTATTAAAATGTTCAGGTGTATATCAGTATGTAGTGTCTCTACTTTAAAGAGTCCTCTCCTGCTGATGTTCAGGTGTATATCAGTATGTAGTGTCTCTACTTTAAAGAGTCCTCTCCTGCTGATGTTCAGGTGTATATCAGTATGTAGTGTCTCTACTTTAAATAGTCCTCTCCTGCTGATGTTCAGGTGTATATCAGTATGTAGTGTCTCTACTTTAAAGAGTCCTCTCCTGCTGATGTTCAGGTGTATATCAGTATGTAGTGTCTCTACTTTAAAGAGTCCTCTCCTGCTGATGTTCAGGTGTATATCAGTATGTAGTGTCTCTACTTTAAAGAGTCCTCTCCTGCTGATGTTCAGGTGTATATCAGTATGTAGTATCTCTACTTTAAAGAGTCCTCTCCTGCTGATGTGCAGGTGTATATCAGTATGTAGTGTCTCTACTTTAAAGAGTCCTCTCCTGCTGATGTTCAGGTGTATATCAGTATGTAGTGTCTCTACTTTAAAGAGTCCTCTCCTGCTGATGTTCAGGTGTATATCAGTATGTAGTGTCTCTACTTTAAAGAGTCCTCTCCTGCTGATGTTCAGGTGTATATCAGTATGTAGTGTCTCTACTTTAAAGAGTCCTCTCCTGCTGATGTTCAGGTGTATATCAGTATGTGGTGTCTCTACTTTAAAGAGTCCTCTCCTGCTGATGTTCAGGTGTATATCAGTATGTAGTGTCTCTACTTTAAAGAGTCCTCTCCTGCTGATGTTCAGGTGTATATCAGTATGTAGTGTCTCTACTTTAAAGAGTCCTCTCCTGCTGATGTTCAGGTGTATATCAGTATGTAGTGTCTCTACTTTAAAGAGTCCTCTCCTGCTGATGTTCAGGTGTATATCAGTATGTAGTGTCTCTACTTTAAAGAGTCCTCTCCTGCTGATGTTCAGGTGTATATCAGTATGTAGTGTCTCTACTTTAAAGAGTCCTCTCCTGCTGATGTTCAGGTGTATATCAGTATGTAGTGTCTCTACTTTAAAGAGTCCTCTCCTGCTGATGTTCAGGTGTATATCAGTATGTAGTGTCTCTACTTTAAAGAGTCCTCTCCTGCAGATGTTCTGGTGTATATCAGTATGTAGTGTCTCTACTTTAAAGAGTCCTCTCCTGCAGATGTTCTGGTGTATATCAGTATGTAGTGTCTCTACTTTAAAGAGTCCTCTCCTGCAGATGTTCTGGTGTATATCAGTATGTATTGTCTCTACTTTAAAGAGTCCTCTCCTGCTGATGTTCAGGTGATATCAGTATGTAGTGTCTCTACTTTAAAGAGTCCTCTCCTGCTGATGTTCAGGTGTATATCAGTATGTAGTGTCTCTACTTTAAAGAGTCCTCTCCTGCTGATGTTCAGGTGTATATCAGTATGTAGTGTCTCTACTTTAAAGAGTCCTCTCCTGCTGATGTTCAGGTGTATATCAGTATGTAGTGTCTCTACTTTAAAGAGTCCTCTCCTGCTGATGTTCAGGTGTATATCAGTATGTAGTGTCTCTACTTTAAAGAGTCCTCTCCTGCTGATGTTCAGGTGTATATCAGTATGTAGTGTCTCTACTTTAAAGAGTCCTCTCCTGCTGATGTTCAGGTGTATATCAGTATGTAGTGTCTCTACTTTAAAGAGTCCTCTCCTGCAGATGTTCTGGTGTATATCAGTATGTAGTGTCTCTACTTTAAAGAGTCCTCTCCTGCAGATGTTCTGGTGTATATCAGTATGTAGTGTCTCTACTTTAAAGAGTCCTCTCCTGCAGATGTTCTGGTGTATATCAGTATGTAGTGTCTCTACTTTAAAGAGTCCTCTCCTGCTGATGTTCAGGTGATATCAGTATGTAGTGTCTCTACTTTAAAGAGTACTCTCCTGCTGATGTTCAGGTGTATATCAGTATGTAGTGTCTCTACTTTAAAGAGTCCTCTCCTGCTGATGTTCAGGTGTATCAGTATGTAGTGTCTCTACTTTAAAGAGTCCTCTCCTGCTGATGTTCAGGTGTATATCAGTATGTAGTGTCTCTACTTTAAAGAGTCCTCTCCTGCTGATGTTCAGGTGTATATCAGTCTGTAGTGTCTCTACTTTAAAGAGTCCTCTCCTGCTGATGTTCAGGTGTATATCAGTATGTAGTGTCTCTACTTTAAAGAGTCCTCTCTAGCTGATGTTCAGGTGTATATCAGTATGTAGAGTCTCTACTTTAAAGAGTTCTCTCCTGCTGATGTTCAGGTGTATATCAGTATGTAGTGTCTCTACTTTAAAGAGTCCTCTCCTGCTGATGTTCAGGTGTATATCAGTATGTAGTATCTCTACTTTAAAGAGTCCTCTCCTGCTGATGTTCAGGTGTATATCAGTATGTAGAGTCTCTACTTTAAAGAGTCCTCTCCTGCTGATGTTCAGGTGTATATCAGTATGTAGTGTCTCTACTTTAAAGAGTCCTCTCCTGCTGATGTTCAGGTGTATATCAGTATGTAGAGTCTCTACTTTAAAGAGTCCTCTCCTGCTGATGTTCAGGTGTATATCAGTATGTAGTGTCTCTACTTTAAAGAGTCCTCTCCTGCTGATGTTCAGGTGTATATCAGTATGTAGTGTCTCTACTTTAAAGAGTCCTCTCCTGCTGATGTTCAGGTGTATATCAGTATGTAGTGTCTCTACTTTAAAGAGTCCTCTCCTGCTGATGTTCAGGTGTATATCAGTATGTAGTGTCTCTACTTTAAAGAGTCCTCTCCTGCTGATGTTCAGGTGTATATCAGTATGTAGTGTCTCTACTTTAAAGAGTCCTCTCCTGCTGATGTTCAGGTGTATATCAGTATGTAGAGTCTCTACTTTAAAGAGTCCTCTCCTGCTGATGTTCAGGTGTATATCAGTATGTAGTGTCTCTACTTTAAAGAGTCCTCTCCTGCTGATGTTCAGGTGATATCAGTATGTAGTGTCTCTACTTTAAAGAGTCCTCTCCTGCTGATGTTCAGGTGTATATCAGTATGTAGTGTCTCTACTTTAAAGAGTCCTCTCCTGCTGATGTTCAGGTGTTTATCAGTATGTTGTGTCTCTACTTTAAAGAGTCCTCTCCTGCTGATGTTCAGGTGATATCAGTATGTAGTGTCTCTACTTTAAAGAGTCCTCTCCTGCTGATGTTCAGGTGTATATCAGTATGTAGTGTCTCTACTTTAAAGAGTCCTCTCCTGCTGATGTTCAGGTGTATATCAGTATGTAGTGTCTCTACTTTAAAGAGTCCTTTCCTGCTGATGTTCAGGTGTATATCAGTATGTAGTGTCTCTACTTTAAAGAGTCCTCTCCTGCTGATGTTCAGGTGTATATCCAGGGCTGCACATAACTGGTGCGCAGGTGCATGTGGAAACGCTCCTCACGGTACTGAGGACACACACACAATATATTAGACAGTATTCATGTGTTAAAAAACCCACTTTTCAAATAAATTCAGTCAATTAAAGTTGGGGAAAATGTCAAACAAATCTTAGTTGATTAGAAAAAGCACAATAACTTATTTCCATAACAAGCTTGAAATCTACCCTTCATATTTCCTCTTTTTATAATCAATCTGAAGCTTCTGTTTTAAGGGACGAGCTGCCAACACGTCTTATAACTAAATAAAGTAAACCCTCTGGAGAGCTGGGATTTAGGCTGTTGGGTTTCTTAAAGCATTTTCAATTATTAAGCATCACTGACCTACATTTGATTGATTTTTCCAATTTATAACTGAACTTATGAGGCGATAAATCGTAAGTGGCCCAGCCCTTCGTATATTTTTCTGGATGTGGCCCTCGGTGAAAAAAGTGTATAAATAAAGCTGTATTGTATTATTATTATTATCTTACCAGCAGTTTGGCAGGTTGAGGGTGATGCTTCCTCCGATGGTGTCTCCAAAGCACAAATACCCGATGGTGCCGAGGGTGACGTAGAGGAAGGTGACGATGCCCATCCCCAAATATAAAACAGGGATGAAGCTCTGAGGCCGGTTCATCTTGTTCTCCAGAGGAAGAACCTGCACACACACACAAAAAGACAATAATAATAATAAACGTCTCCAAACAGGATGTGATGGATTAATACCAAAGACAAACGCACTGTAAATAAGAAAAATGGCCAAATGTAAAGCATGGTTTAAGGATCAATTTGCAGGGGAGAGAAAAGTCTTAAGATAAGATAATGTACTTTATTAATCCCAATATAGGAAAAATGTTTGTTGCATTGCACATAATAACAAGTTAAAAGAGTAGTAATAAACTATTCTAAAATATAAACATTTCAAACCAGGATGTTATGGATTAATATCGTTTCATGGACTTTATAATGAAGACTACATGTATGTTGACTGAGCAGACAGAATGGAAATAAGGGGGAGTGATTATAATACCAGGTAGAAATGCAATCTCAAAGATATTGAAGTGACTGTTATTTTGTATATATTGTTGATTGTTGAGCATTTAGGTCTTAATGTGTGCATATCAGTGGCGAACCGTGTCTATCACAACTGGACCCCCCCCCCCCCCCATGGCATTATAATGTCCGTCTTTTCACTGAATTGTCGTCTTGAAAAAGGTACTCACAACAATTCCGCAACAACTTCATCTTCACATGTTGCACTTGTCAGTTCAACGTTAAAAACAATAAAACGGCATGAATTTCTTTGTCGCATTCATCTAGATCCTCTGCCTCGAGCCAGTGAACTAGCGGGCCTTCTAGAATACCTGGAACCGAGGGAAACTCTGAAAGAACACGCCCATTGGCTACACATCAATATATGATTGGTTGATCAAACTGTCAGTCCAAACGTACGCTCTCATTCAGTGCAACGGCCAGGGCCTTCGATCAAGGATGTAGAATACCTTGTTGAAGGATATTCTACCCAGAGACCCAGAACAAGATCTGATTGGTTGCTTTCTTTTCTAACATAAAACCATTACATTTTATTTATATAATTAAAACGATTTTTGGTTTGTTTTATCCGAGTGTTCCAGGGTATTCTCTGAATACCTTGAAGGCCCTGACGGTTTGCCACTGGTGTATATGTATGGGTCTGTTGATTGCATATATATAGGTAGATAGACTTCATTTGATGTGGCCCGCAAGAGCTTGGAAAGAATATAATACGTTTACATGCCACTTTACAGAAGCACGTTGCCAATAAACTACATGTCCCACAATGCATCTCATTTTGTAACATTCTCACTGAAGAGACTTGCAATTATTTGCCCTAGACTTCTGCTTCCAGACGTAGTTAATTATGAAGTTATTACCCTATCTGATAATAATCCAACGCAGAGGCAATAATGTCATATAATACATTATTTAATATATATTATAGATTGATATTAAAGTTACAACCGGCACATTGACTGCACCTTAATGCTGATGTGGCCCGCAATTAAATTGAATTTGACACCCCTGAGATAAGGTATCCGGATTCATACTTCACGTTAATACAGGATGTAAATGTGCTTTTGTTAACGTACCACTCCGATTCCCTCGAAGGCGAAGATGGCCGTCCCGAAGAAGAGAGGATAGTCTTTGAGTCTTCCAACTTTAGGGAGGTCGATGGGGTACTGGATGTTCTACAGGGAGAAAACGAGGAAAATAAAGAATATTTAATATACATGTTTGCAAAAGCAATATCATATTATATGATAGACTCTTCTCTGACTGGCTCTACACATCTGATCTGATATTTTTTGCAATCAAAAGGTCCAAGTAGTAACACCTTGTGACCTGTTTGATGACCAAGTCACACAAATTACATAAACTGATGATATGGGTCTTTGAAGGAACAATCATTCCTGCAAAATAAACCAAAATATAGCACGATGAAGCTTGACTTACAGCCATTAAAATGTGTTGCACATTCAAACTGAATATCAAGTAGAATCGCAGCGAGAAGGCGACGTGTTACCTGTTTTTTGTATGTTATTATAAATGGCTGGGGACTTGTAAACAACTGTGTTTTGTAGTATTTCACTTGTTCGTGTTTCTTCATAAACCAAGAACTCTCTCCCAGATGTATTAGGCGCTTTCACACCGGAGTACTTTTCCCAGGAATAGTTCCGATAGTTCTTGGGATTTTGCGTTCACACCAAAAAGATCTGGAACTAGAACTTAGTTCATGCGAACCTTTTCGCATTAGCCCAACGGAGAGAGACTAACTTATGGCAACACAAAATAAAACGTGGGAACGGTGGAGTGATGAGGAAGTAGGGCTGTGCGATTATGGCAAAAATCATAATCACGATTATTTGGGTCAATAATTGATATCACGATTATTTTGACGATTATTCATTGACCATTTATTGAACTTTAAAACAAATAATATTTTACCAATAAACAAGAACAAATATGTTGGAGCGCACTTCCAAAACCATACTAAACATATATTATTAATATGATAAATAAAAATAAATTAGACCAAAAAAAATGAAATCAAATATGATGCAGTGCACTGTCACAACCTACTGAAAACTCCTTAACATATAGCCAACATGTTGGTAAAACATATTCAACATATTCCACTCAGTTAAACGTTGAAGGCTGGCCAACCGTCATGGTCCAGAAGTAACAGGAAATAAATGTTGAACTACAATTTAAGACCAAATAAAAATGTCTAGGCCACCATGGCAAATGCTGGTAGGGCTGCTCGTGTCATCGCTTAAAGATGTTTTGCAAGAAACACCAGCCTGTTTACATGGTCTGATTTCAGAGAAGAGCGCAGGCAGGTGACAATATTGCCACCTGTACTGAAGACCCTCAGCCACGCCCCGACACATGGGGTGACGCCGGCCAATCACAAAGCTTTGATGCGTTCAAGTGCATTATTCTGGCACAGGAACATTATGTTATAGGACATTAACGATAAAACAGAATATTGTTGTTCTATTTTTAGACACATCTCGCGATCGACTGGTTGGGCACCCCTGGGCTAGACCATAGGTCTGTTGTGGTAGCAAAGTAGTTAGCTGAAGCCACATCTCTCTCAACTTCCCCACGGCATTTGTCATATAGTGCAGGCAGCGCAGACCTGCTGAAATAATACCGAGACGGCATCGCGTAACGCTTGTCCAACGTGTTGACAAGTTGCTTAAAGCCCTGGTTGCTAACAGTGCTAACTGGGCACATATCTTTAGCGATGTGAAATGTAAAGGCAAAGTACTTGCAAATAGTGGAAATAGTTTGACCCTTCTTTTTAACGAGTTGCTGCTCTTGTTCTGACATCTTCGCTCTCGCTGAACACTCACAACACATGTCACTCCCACGTGGCCGAGTGGGCTTTTAGGGAGGAGCGAAAGCGCACCCAGCAAAATAATCGTATTTTGTCAATTATGCTGTTTTCATAATCGTCGCAAGCCATAATCGTAATCGCGATTAAAATACGATTAATTGCACAGCCCTATGAGGAGGTGTCGGCGCTTCTGGCGATTTACCCCGGACTCCGGGTGGCAGTATACGCCGTGAAGTTGTTTGCGGCCTGCCAGTAAACCCAAACCAGAAGAAGAAAAAGTGACGTCAGCGGCTTAATTTGCCTAATCCTCCCTCAGGGATTTATTCCGGTGTGAACGCGATCTACTAAGACACTTTCAGGGACTAAAGAGTTCGGCAGGACTAAGTACTGGGAACTAAGTACAGCAAAGTAAAATCTTCTCTGAATGGATGAAGGTATAACAGTGGAGAAAGGTCCTTCTTTCCTGCATCGGTCAGACTCCGAGAAAGTTTATAATGATACTTTACTTGTATGCTGACTTCCTGGATTGCAAGATAAATATTTATATCGTCACAACAATTGCAGCGCCCGCAAATTAAGAATGAAATGCTGTTTTTATTGCCATCACACAATGAAATGGCTCCTGTGTGGATCTTATGTGTGGCGACTTACAAAATCTGTCCAGGGACTAGAGATGAAAAATAGCCTCTGTGCTCGAGGGACAGTCCCTGTTAAATAAATGAATATATAAATAAAAATAAAACGCTAAAAGTAGAAACGTTTTCGCAGAACCCATCCATACGAGAAGAGATATAAGCAACATTTTCTGAATTATTTCTGAAAAAGTCAATTTTTTTTCTGAAATGTTCTGAAGTCACATTTTCAGATATTTTTTGAGGAAGAAACATTTTCATTTTTTTTTCGATATTTCCGAAAAATTCTGATTTTATTCCGAAAAATTCTAATTTTATTCCGAAAAATCTAAATTGTGTCGACATTTTTTGATATCTTCTGAAAAAGTCAAGTTTTTAGATTTTTGCGGAAACGTCACATTTTCTTAATTTTTCGGAAAAAGTCACAATTTTGACAAGAAGATGGAACTTTAGCAAAAAGACAGAATTTTGGTGGGTAAAGTCATATTTTTCTGAAAATTTGATTTTTGAGGATTCTACTGAAAAATAATCTAATTTCTGAATGATTCTGACTTGAGAATAAATTCAGATAAATTCCCTGCTTCTGAGAAAAGAGAGTAGAGATGAAATGCTGTGTTCACCGTGAGCGGGTAGAAGTAGATGAGGATGAATAAACATTAAAAGACATCAAAAAGTTAATTTTTACATAATGGGAGACCTTTAATCTCAATGAGACTTTTACCTGGTTAAATAAAGGATATATAAATGCTTTGTTCACCGTGAGCGAGTAGAAGTAGATGAGGATGAGGCTGGCAGTCATCAGTATGTTGGCCACCAGAGAGAGAGGAGCCAGGTATTTGAGGTCGGGGAGACAAACACCAGCAGCACGAACGGCAGGAAGGAAGCACAGCATGTAGAGGCGAGAGTCAAAGCCTCGGCACCAGGCCACCCTGCGTCCTGGTTGGTGTAATTCATGTGGCAGATAAAGGTGGTGGTGTTCGCGGCGTCCCACCACCTGAGAGATAGAGAGATCTAGAGATATAGAGAGAGAGCGATAGAGATAGCGAGAGATAGAGATAGAGAGATAGAGAGAGAGAGAGAGAGAGAGAGAGAGAGAGAGATAGAGAGATAGAAGAGAGAGGAGATGATATAGATAGAGAGATCAGATAGTGAGAGAGAGAGCATATAGATATGACTCTCTCTCTCTCCTTTTTCCCGCTCCCTCTCTCCTGAAGGGAACATGATTCTGCTGAGGCACGAAGTGTTTTTCACATTTCATATGCTTTTTGAGAGATTCAGTTCTTCGTTATTTTGCTATTAAGTAGTTTAAATCTGATCTGATTTGTTTAATACACATTTATTTAGCATAAGGAGGGAAATAAACATTCAATTTAAGATCGACACATCTAGAAATGAATGTTCTCTCTAGAAAGGAACGGGATGGAAAACTGTAATCTGAGAAGACACTAAAGCTGTCAAGAAGTAGCAGTATATGCATTACAAAATGTACCTCTGAGGTGTAGTTGAGTACGTTTTAGGTAGCTTGAAAGGACATTCTTAGGTGCAAGACCCTCAAATTCATACTTCATTCATACTCAAGTACATTGTCACTACACCACAGATGTTCATTTCCCATTGAGTCCATCATCAACACAAAGTATTTACTCACAGATGATATAAGTGATTTTTTATTAAAATGGTCAATGATTGAGTTGCTGTTGTACTACTCAAGCTTCAGGAACACTCTTTTGTTCAAAACAGGTTTAAAAGTAGAAACAAACTCCTAAAAAAGTTTGACTGTTAGAGTGAGACCACTATAGTAGACGGACAGCACCATCTAGTGGTGAGAAACGGTACAGGAGGAGGTTTACAGGAGGACAATCGTTCAGATAGACAGAAAAAAGGCCAACTCACTAGCATACAACACAAAGGGTTCTTGACATTATCCCAAAAAAACGTAAGTGTACTTTGTGGATCATTGGTTTAAAATGCAGACACTACTCTGAAATCACAGGTCAGAAAATAAGACCTTTAGTAAAGTTTCCAGGTGACATGATGCATGACATCAGATCAATAGGTGGTAATAAGGTCACGGGTCAAAGGTTAGCCACGTACAAGAAGTGGAAACGTTTAAGAGATTTTTGTTTCTACTATTCAGTCCACCTCACCCTGTTTTTTGTCAAGTTTTGCCTTATCTTAGCTAAGGAAAACGGATTTTTTTCTTTTTCTGATGAGATTATATTGAACATTTTAGTCAATCTAGACTAGCCGAGATATCACCTTGTGTTTTTTTCTTAGGCTCTAATGATGTCATTGTTTTACTTCCCCGTCAACTAAGTTACTCTGCTCTTTGGCCTAATTCCAAATCGACCCCTACACACTTCCACTGAATCCCTCTGTAGTCTCACAGCCGAATGAGGTGTAAATACAGCGGTAATCTGATGTTTAAGAGCTGCTTGATTTCTGCAACGGTCCCTGTAAACACACCACACGTTATAATAAAATGCAACAGGGTCTTTGTGTGATGTCTTTATGAACAGGAAACAGAACTACTTCATTGAAATGGAAAAATTAAATTGGATTTCTCTTTGATTTCAACAAAAATAAAGATAATTTGGTTACGTTTCTGATTTTTCAAACTACATTTCAGTGTGTCTTATTCAAATATTGCATGTTAACATCATCACAGTTAAAGGTGTCCTCTTACTCATGAAAAATAAAAGCTAGCTGGTGATTTGGTCATAGTGTTTTAATGAACACTGCTAAAAAGACTCTAAAACTGGTTTGGTTTATTTGTCTATGAAATCACTATTTGTTAAGCTTTACTCTACTATTGTATGAGGTAACATGTAACACAAGAGCTTGTTTATTGCCATGTTTTCTATTCAAGTGAATGCCCTCTTCTACTGGTGACCTATTTATCCAGTGTGGTATAAGTAAACACTGAGACCTGAGTCACTCTCTCTGTGAGTACATGTACAAACATGAGCAACACTCTTACACAACTCTGCTGCCATATAACCTTCATGTGGCCAGAGCGCTCGGAGGGAACGCCAGAAAACAGGTTCACAACTCGAGCTGTTAACGAGTCTCACAGAGAGCTTTGAGAAGCAGCTATGAGACAAGATGAAAACCTGTATTCATCTACCTGTAGAGTATTCAAGGTTTTATTTAAAGTTTAGGAAAACTGTGGCAGCAGAGGTGGGAGAAGTACTCAGATCTTGTAATTGAGTAAAAGTAGAAGTACTCAGATCTTGTAATTGAGTAAAAGTAGAAGTACTCAGATCTTGTACTTGAGTAAAAGTAGAAGTACTCAGATCTTGTACTTGAGTAAAAGTAGAAGTACTCAGATTGTGTACTTGAGTAAAAGTAGAAGTACTCAGATCTTGTACTTGAGTAAAAGTAGAAGTACTCAGATCTTGTACTTGAGTAAAAGTAGAAGTACTCAGATCTTGTACTTGAGTAAAAGTAGAAGTACTCAGATCTTGTACTTGAGTAAAAGTAGAAGTACTCAGATCTTGTACTTGAGTAAAAGTAGAAGTACTCAGATCTTGTACTTGAGTAAAAGTAGAAGTACTCAGATCTTGTACTTGAGTAAAAGTAGAAGTACTCAGATCTTGTACTTGAGTAAAAGTAGAAGTACTCAGATCTTGTACTTGAGTAAAGTAGAAGTACTCAGATCTTGTACTTGAGTAAAAGTAGAAGTACTCAGATATTGTACTTGAGTAAAAGTAGAAGTACTCAGATCTTGTACTTGAGTAAAAGTAGAAGTACTCAGATCTTGTTCTTGAGTAAAAGTAGAAGTACCAGAGTGTAGGAATACTCTGTCACAGTAAAAGTCCTGCATTCAAAATGTTCCTCAAGTGAAAGTATAAAAGTAATCTCATCTAAATATAGTGAAAGTAGCGACAGTAAAAGTAGTCGTTGTGCAGATTGGTCCATTTCAGAATAATATATATGATATGTTTTATAATGATTGATCATGAAAGTGTTCTCAAAGCTGGTGAAGGAGCAGCTAGTTTGAAGGACTTTGTATACTGCAGGGTAGCTGGTGGATTTACTCCAGGTGGAACTAAAGTCTGATTCAACACTTGATCATATCTATATTATTATCATTCATCCACATCTGTGATTACGTTTTTGGAGAACGACCTGGGAAAGTAAGCATCAAAAACCTTGATATTGATATTTTGACGACATTGTTGGGTTAACTATTGGTGCTTTTATTGAATGCTTAGTCAATGACATGAACAAGAGAAGTTGGAAATGACATCACTTTACTCTAATCCAGCATTCAAAACAAGAAGGAGACATATATGACAAATCTAAGTCGATATCTAACCTCATATCACGATAACGATATAATCGATACAGCCCTAGTGTCTTTTACTTTCTACCTCTTAGAAACCACTGTTTTTTTATGACACCTAGAAGCTTCAGACATTCACCAGTTGGGAATTTACTGACTTATTTTATGTCGTAGAACAAAACGTTAAACCATCTCAGACCATATTTCAGGATAACAACCAAAAACACATTCAGAAAACCATTGGCCTCCAGTCCAGAGGCCTATACTACGAAGCCGGTTCAACCTAACCTAGATATGTTTGAGTTACCCGGCTTACCTAATCCAAAACAAATGCGCTCTTATTAAGCGGTCCTACGACGCTGGTTATCAACTCGTTAACTCAAGCCAGCTTTGCCCCATCTAGTTATGTGCACGTTCACATGAAAGGGACGGGGTTAGCAACATTTGACCAATCACACACATGGAGAAGCGTACCGACAGCGTAGCGTCATACTTCCTGAATGAAAAGTCAACTATATAATTAGACAAATATGAAGACGTTAAACTTTAAACATCCATGACTTAAACACTTGATCCAGGATCAAAGCCACAGAGCTGCACCTGCAAGGTGAATACAGCTGGCAACAGAACAAGTGTTTGAATGCGTACATTAACAGGTTTATGATATCACTGCCCCGTCCAAGACACTATCTGACTTTCATTACATTTGTCTCGAGTGTTTCGTCAACTTAATGTGTTGCTTAAAATAATACTTCTGCATACAGTATGTGACACTGTGAGTGTTGCACGGCCAGATACGGCTCAGCTGACTCAGATCAGGAGATATATGATACATTATGAAGTGATACTTAATGTTACTCTGATCCGGTTACTTATGTTGTGGCAGATATTTAAGTACGTTTCTTAACGCTAATGTTATAAATAGTCAGATTGCTCTGAAGATGGAGGTGATATTCTATTAATGTTCACGTTCACACAGTCGGTGATTTTTGCCGGCCGTCTTTCCTGCAACGGCAGCTTTTCTGTATTTCCTTTCTCCTGTAATATGACTTGATCGCTTTAAACTCCGCACACTGAGCTCTGATTGGTCAGCAGGCGGTGCTTTCACTGAGTTGAGCTCTTAGCCTGCAACCTAACCTGCTCCGGACCAGGTTAGCCGCTAAGCATAAGTTACCATGGAGATCTAGCCCGCTAAAAAGAGAACCAGCGTCATAGGACCGGAAACCCAGAGTTTCCCCTGAAGTTAGCGAAAATCCGGCTGCGTAGTACAGGCCTCAGGGGAGGTGTGTGTGTGTATGTGTGTGTGTATGTGTGTGTACCTGCTTGATGTTGTCACTGAGGAAGACAAAGTAGACACAGCAGAATCCGAGCTGAGTGATGATCAGAAACACATTCACCGTCACTCTGAGAGGGAGGAAGACAACATGTATTACATTATGATTTTTGATACTAATTTATCTTATTTATAGAAAGGATTAGGAAATTCTTAAACAATATAAAAGCCCTATAAACATAACGCATTGTTTGGGAGAGCTTCTGAAGCTGTATTTCTACCCTGATGAGACACCGACTGCTGTATTAGGAACAGAGGTGGGAAGTAGTGGAGTACAAATACTTTGTTACTGTACTTAAGTACATTTTTCTGGTATCAGTACTTCACTCCACTACTTAATTTTCTGACGACTTTTTACTTTGACTTCTTACATGTTGAACCCAAATACCTGTACTTTCTACTTCTTACATGTTGAACACAAATACCTGTTCAGCATGGAAACATTCATTAGCTAACAATGACATTATTGTTCTATTAATATAAAGGGAGGTCAGGTACTCTTTAAAACAGCTGCTAGTTATGGGTACTTTTTACTGAAGTACATTTCAAAGCCTCTTTACTTTTACTTGAGTAAAGAAGTTTAGTCAGTACTTCTACTTAGACCAGAGTATTTTTAAACACGAGTATCTGTACTTCTACTTGAGTAAAGGATGTGTGTACTTTGGCCATCTCTGGGTATAGTTCTCTCTGAACATGTGTCTTACTTTCCCCACTGCGAGTGTCTCCTCAGCCAGGAAACATTCTCCATCCCGTACTGCATCGCCTCTCCGTACGTCAGAGACGCCCTGTTCACCCTGAAACACATCACACCCGTTATTGACTTTGCATTCATCTATTTTAATTATATTATCACTTTGAGTTAAAGACACGGCCACCGAGATAACCTCTGAACACAGATTCTGCTTTAACATGTAGATATTATCAATGTTTTTCATCTCTTTTTATTCAATCAGTTTTCTCATGAGCCTTTTCTTTATAATTCTCCAAATGATAAGTGACTTCTTGTCTTCGTAATAGCCGTGTCTGAAGCTTGTTTTTTTTAGCTCTTTAACCACACTGTGTATCTGTGTAATCCTGTTTGCATGATGGGTGGAGCAGGATGAGTGCATCCCAGTGTGAAGAGGGCAAAGAGTACACAGACTAATACATATCTGATCTGATCTTAAGCACGTAAGTCATCTCAGATGACACTCAAACGTCAATAAAACACATAATGGGTCATAGTCTACTTCCACATCGTTTCAGCTATAAAACATAATGGTTTTATTTGTATTGGTAACACAAACATTTAGCAGGTAGTCACATTAGGTCCTGTTTGTGGAGCTAACCGCAGCTAACTAATGTTGTAACAAATTCATACTCATAATAAATAAATACATCAACATAGCAGCATATCATTAGAGGTGACACACAATTAATTGCATACACATACAGTAAAGTGTGTTTGTACTCACTTTATACTGAGGTAGTGGGAACATTTCACCAGCACCGTCATACAGTGGATTGCTATCACCCCCATACACAGCAAACTGATGGGGCCGAGCTGAAAAACAAACAGGTAGTCAGAGATGTATCAGGTGAAAATTACATTTATTTATTTAATACTAATCTAACATATTACTGAAACCCATCTTGTCTATAGATATGTTGCTAGGGTACAGGTAAAGTGAGGATCTTACAGGGATTGTGTTATATTCTATTATTGCAAGGATTAGTTTAATACACCATTCTGATTGGTCAAATTTGAACCTTCCAGAGGTCTGTTGTTTTTCGAAAGCAGACCGTTGCTAAGGAGAGCAGACCGTTACCAAGGAGAGCAGACCGTTGCTAAGGAGAGCAGACCGTTGCTAAGTAGTAGTAGTAGTAGAACCTTTATTTATCCAGGAAAATCAATTAAGAACAAATTCTTATTTACAATGATGACCTGACAGGAGGCAAAGGCTTCCTGAGGGGATGGGGTTTGGGAGGAAAACAAATAAAAAGACAGACTCCGGGCACGACAGAACCCAGGAGACAACACAAACACATAGAGCAAAGATGACAGGCATAGCAGTTAAACATATAAAAACTCTAAAACAATATTGCTGTGGTTCAATCAGTCATTAAAATCAGCATCAGGCAAAGCAGCTACATGTGTGTACCAGGGTGTCAATAATAGTGACATTGAAGGTGCGGGGGGGGAGACAAAAGGTTTTCATTTTCAACGTTTTTTGAATGACATTCCAGCTATCTGCTGCTGCAAACTGAAAGGCGGAGCGGCCAAAGGATGTATGGGCGTTGGGGATCTTTAACAGGATGGTAAGGAGAGCAGACCGTTGCCAAGGAGAGCAGACCATTGCTAGGGAGAGCAGACCGTTGCTAAGGAGAGCAGACCGTTGCTAAGGAGACAGTAAACTGTTGCTAAGGAGAGCAGACCATTGCTAAAGAGACAGCAAACCGTTGCTAAGGAGAGCAGACTGTTGCCAAGGAGAGCAGACCGTTGCTAAGGAGAGCAGACTGTTGCTAAGGGATCAATTCAAAACCTTTATTTATCCAGGTAAAATCCCATTGAGATCAATGATCTCTTTTTCAAGGGAGACCTGCAGCAGTAGGTTCCACAAGAAGACATAAAAACATAAACAACAGAACAACAAAAGGACATCATACAGCAACATGTACAGGGATTACAATTTACATATTTAACCACATGTACAGGTACCAAGAGCATCTGATTGAGTAGCATCCAACCGAGCTTTAAAAACATGTAGTGGTACTAGCTTGGTAATTTTCCATTCTTTTTGCAGACTGTTCCATGCTAGTGGAGCTGCACATCTAAAAGCTTTCTTCCCTAAGACAGTCCTAGCACTTGGCACATTTAATAAAACCACAGCATGCGATCTCAGGCAATAAGTACTTTCAATTCGCCGAGAGATCAGGGAGCAGATATAAGATGGTAGTTTATCCAACATGGCTTTGTAAATGAAAAAGTACCAGTGACTGAGCCTCCGTACAGTAAGTGATGGCATAACCGCCTTGGTATACAGTGTATAGTGATCAAGGGACTATGTGCAGTCATATCAACATTACGTTTTCTCCATCAGAAAACCCAGTGGAAAATGTTTAATATTGATTTAAAACCTTAACTATAGATGTAGAGTTCATTACTTTTAGTTTTTTAACTTGAATTTTTAAGATAAGGATAAAAAAGGATAAAATATGTTTATAAGGGTAAAATGCCCCGTTTAATTTTTATCTTAATTTTGACCAAGCAATGTTTCACTTTGGTGCAACGTGTAATTATGTTTTTTCACACCGCAGACACAGCTCTCTACATTATGCTGTGAAGCAGGGTGGAGGCAATGCTGCTGGAACATCAGAAAGACATGTGAAGAAAAGGAGTTAAGAAAGATTAAATCTATTCCGCAATTAACAGCATTATATTCTACTTAAATACAATTAACTTCCCTCATAACGGATTTTCCAAGCCTATCCAGGAAATGAATTGTTCCTGATGTCTTTAACTCAAAAGACATCTCACTCCTTCCAAGATATCTAAAAAACAAACCCCATAAAAACAGGACAGAAGCTGAATGTAAAAGGCCAAAAAGTATAGCCAATATAAACGATTTCCAAATGTACTTTCCTCCCAAAAATATGAAGCTGACGAACTGCTCACAGTACAAAACAAAGCCTGATGTCTGCATGAGGCCGTGAACATCTGACAGGACGCTCAGCAGAATCTAATTATGTGTCTCCAGACCCGTCATGTGACCCAGTGTAATTATGAGATAATACAATCTGAGTGTACTCACCACCAGGCCGGCGTTCTTCACCGCCAGAGGCAAACCCAGCAGCCCTGTACCGATGTTCCCTTTCAACAGGTGGATCAGAGTCTGGCAAAAACTGGGGAGGAAAGAGATATCTGCGTTAGAAACAGGCCAAATATATTGAATATCTGTGCAAACCGACAAAGCAAATAATTTATTTTCTCCACCGCCTTAGGTCCTTTGGGGCGAGCAGAGAAATTCTTCTGTTGTTTTTTACATCTGTGATCTTGTCTATTCTACAGTACTGCAATAATACCTGGTACAAGTGTTTGTCAGCAGCTTTCAAATCAAAACTGCTCCACCTGTTAAAAATCTGCTCAAAGATTGTTGGTCCACCCTGTCAGAGACTCTAAGACTCAGCAGACCATAATAACCTGAGAGGCTGTCCAACAACATCATCTGGGACCCAACGCATGTTCTGAACAGAGAATCTGAACTGCTACCATCTAATGGAGATCAATAAAGTCAGACTGAAGTATCCTTTGTGCTCCAGTCAATCCTCACAGTAAATACAGAGCTGAATCCAGATCAGATGCAGATGCTGTTATGTTAAATGTTTGTTGTTTGTTTTTCATGTATTGTTTCTTGATATTTGTATGTTGATGTTACACATGAAGCTGCTGTGAAGCAAGGAGCAATTCAGACTTGATCTGACCATTCAAGTATTATCGTATCGTATTAATTAGAATAACTAGAATAATGGCTGTTTAGTGCATATAGAGTGGTGCAGGAATTCCTAAGACCCAGAAATGACTCGGCACTTTAACAGTTCGGTTTCCAATAGCCGCGTTCACACCAAGTACTTTGCCGTACTTAGTTCCCAGCACTTAGTTTCCCTATGGAACTAAGAGCCGATCGCGTTCACACCGGAATAAGTTCCCTGAGGGAAGATTACGCAAATGAGCCGCTGACATCACTTCGTCTTCTTCTGCTTTGGGTTTACTGGCAGGCCGCAAACAACTTCACTGCCACCCAAAGTCCCCGGAGTTGGGGACTGGCTTCAGTAGAAGCTGCTGGGACTCCCAGCAGCTTCTACTGAAACCTTCCGAGTAAATCGCCAGAACGCCGACACCTCCTCATCTCCACCGCTTCCATGTTTTCTTTTGCCATAAGTTAGTCTCTCTGCGTTTGTGCGCTGGGCGAATGCTAATGCTAATAATGTTAATGCGAGGATAATAAAATGGCGGCTCTACAAAACATTTCAGAGTTTTACGGGGCGTGGTTTGCAATCGCCCAGCCAATCAGAACTGTGGTACTTTTTTTCCCCAGGTAAGTACCTGCTGTCAGCAGGCGCTAAAAATGGGGTGAAAAGTTCCCGGCACTTAGTTATTTTTTTGGTGTGAACGCGACATCAGGGGTACTAACGGAACTAAACGCGAAAAGTACGGGTGAAAAGTACTTTGTGTGAACACGGCTATTGTCGCAATGTCAATGGTTTTCAGAATGTGGTTTTGGTTGTTATCCTGAAATAAGGTCTGTGGTCAAAACAAGATGAAGACATTTTAACGTTTTGTTCTACGACATAAAATACGTCAGTAAATACCCCACTGGTGAATTTAAAAACGGAGGTTGCTAACAAGTGTCTAAATGAGACGACTAAACTTCATCACGCCCAACATTAGCCGCCTTTAGCTTAGCTGTGGTGACGTGAAGTCATGATTATGTATAAATGTATTTGCCGGCTTAATGACTGATAAAGAAATCCTCTTGGCCTTATCGAACATAAGGTATAGTACTACACGCTACCAATCGCAGCTGTGGAGACATTGGTATAGTTGTCTCTTTGTTGGACACTGATTTAAATTATTCTTAAACTATGAATTATTTTTATGCTGTGTATGTAATTTATTATATGTAATGCCTTGTCTTTTATCTATGTAATGTATTGTCTTTTACCTGGACCCTGAGTATGTAATACAGTTGTCATTCATTCATTCATGAGACTGTGCTGTAATTAGTTTATAGCCCAAAATTAGCCACCTTTAGCTTAGCGGTGGTGACGTGAAGTCATGTGACCGTGCTGTAATTCCTTTATAGCCCAACATTAGCCGCCTTTAGCTTAGCGGTGGTGAAGTCATGTGACCGTGCTGTAGTTCCTTTATAGCCCAACATTAGCCGCCTTTAGCTTAGCGGTGGTGACGTGAAGTCATGTGACCGTGCTGTAGTTCCTTTATAGCCCAACATTAGCCACCTTTAGCTTAGCGGTGGTGAAGTCATGTGACCGTGCTGTGGTTCCTTTAGAGCCCAACATTAGCCGCCTTTAGCTTAGCGGTGGTGAAGTCATGTGACCGTGCTGTAATTCCTTTATAGCCCAACATTAGCCGCCTTTAGCTTAGCGGTGGTGACGTGAAGTCATGTGACCGTGCTGTAGTTCCTTTATACCCCAACATTAGCCTCCTTTAGCTTAGCGGTGGTGACGTGAAGTCATGTGACCGTGCTGTAGTACCTTTATAGCCTAATGTGAGCTTTTTACTTCAGAAATCCTAAAGTGGTGTTAATGTGTGGAGATTATTCTGCTGAACTAGGAGGCGTGTGGTGCAGTGGGTTGTGCGTTGGTATTCGGATCAGGGGAGCACAGGTTCAAACCCCACTGCAGTCAGCATGTCATTGTGTCCCTGAGACACTTCACCCCAAATTGCTCCTGTGGGGATTGCTCACAGTATTGAGTATGTAAGTCGCTTTGGATAAAAGCGTCTAACAAGTGACATGTAATGTAATGAACTAAACGTGTCCGTATCATAAATCCTATTGGCTTTTTGTCGAGGGAACCAGGGAGATGCTAACTTCCTGGTCCCCTACAAAATCCCTGCACAACACTATTAGATTTTAAAATACTTACGAGGTTCCTTCCCGTCCTCCGATCCTCTCGTAGAGGCGTTGGGGTCGGGTCGGTCCGGGAGGAGAGGGACACAGAGCGTCCATTTCTGAGGGATTCTGGTCTGAAAACAAAGTACCTGAAGTCAAAAGAAAGAAAGAGGGGAGATGAGAAGGGCAAAGATTAGAAGTGAGTGAGGCCTTTTGTCGCACAGCACTGATAATATGTGGGGACGTCATGACGATAACAACTTCTCTCTTTACCACTTTGTTCAAACATTCCTCATGATATTACCATATTTACTTAATTCCCAAGCCTCAGCACACACTTGCATACTGACTGAGAATTTAGCTTTATGAATCAATATTGTTAGACTTTTATTAGACTTTATCCACATGAATGATGACCATAAATTAGGGTTGAACCAAATGTTTCCTGCAGTCGTTAGTCTGCTTTTTAACACTGTCTTAATTCAGGTTTGTTTGCAGCAGGTGGAAGAACCAACAAGTATCTGAATGCAGTGTGTTACAATGTGAGGTGCAGGTGAAAAAATGATACGTGGAGAGAGGGTTTACTTTAAAAAATAAACGTTGTATTTCTTAGCCTTCCATATTCTTTTAGAGGAACACAAAACGCCATGCCTGGTGCTGCGTTCACCAGCAAGGAACAAACACACATCCCCCCCCCTCCCCTCTCTTCACAACCACATGTATAGGAGACAGCCCGTCTTCCTAATCCAACATGGCTGATCAGGTCATGGTTCTGAAAGTGGAGTGATGGGTTGAATACAAAATTAAACACTGTTATCTACATTTAATAAAACCCTAAAGGCTTAAGTAAATACATAATTGCATCAACATAAATATGGTACCTTCAAAAACAACAAGGTCTGCTTAAAACGGATAGTTTTTAATCTAATTGACACTCGTAAAATCACACATTTCCTGACCAATCACGTCCAAGACTCCGCCGCCTACTCATACGGCACATATAAGGAGTCCTTTGGAGGCGTGCTCCCCCTTTGAGCACTGGCCCAAGATGGCTTCCAGGTCTGAACAAAGGAAATGGTCATTACTTTGTGATTGTGTGTTTTAAAGACTGACAACTTCATTTAGATGCATTTTATTAAATTTGTCTATGTAAACTGTTTTTATCTTTAAACTGTTTTTATCACTTTAACTGAAATAAAGACAACTCTGAAGAAACATGTACTACCTTTCTTAACAAACAAATAGTTAAGTCAAAATGTTAGTGAGTGAGTGTGTGTGCTTCCTCACACAGTGAAAATGCTAATTGTGCGGCCATAGATTTGTTTGAATTCTGACTTTTTTCTCAGATTTGACTTTTTTCGCTGAATTCGGACTTCAATCTCAGAAAAAACTAAATGCACTTTTGTTCAGATCTCTGTTCACCTCTTCCTTAAACTTCGAAAGACTGAACGGCAATACAAAAGGGTTTAAAGGTCCCATGTCATGGCCATTTATACTGATCATAATTCCATTGTTGAGGTCTACTAAATACACTGTGCAATGTTCCAAACTCACATTGGTTTCTCATTCAGCATCTCTGTATAGTATGTGTATTCACTCTCTGTCCGAAACGGCTTGTTGGAGCTCCTGCACCCCCCCCCCCCCCCTGTGAGCCCAGTGACCGTCTGCGAGACAGCGAGACACAGCGAAACCCAGCCCGAACACACACACACACACCCGCAGCCTGGCTGGGAGTTTGTGTGTGTGCTCACACACCTCGGCGCGTCCCGCCGTCTCAGGCTGAGAAATCGGAGGAGCTGCAGCTGAGAAAAGATTGAGTGTGTCTGTGAGGACTTTGTTCATTTTGACCAATGCGCGGACGTAACGTAACGTCACTATACCCAAATACGTCACTGTACCCTGGAAGAAAAAGAGAAATCTCCAACGAGGCATTCTAGGGCAGCATAGACAGGTCTTCTCTGTGTTAGAGTTGTACTCGCTACAGAGTGTACTTTGAGGGTTTGTGACTCTGCAGACCGTTTACATGCAGAACAACCTTCATAACACACAAGGGGACGGGTGATAACAGGAAGAGCATGACATGGGACCTTTAAGAAAACCTTGAAATTAATAAAAACATGTGTAGAATTTAAAAGTTATTACATTATTACATTGCTTAGGATTCAAGGCGTTTATATTAAATAATAATAATAATAATAAATGTATTTGGTAAGCGCTTCTAGAAGTGCTCAAAGTCGCTTTACAGAGGTAGTAAAAAGGACAACAAATAAATATAGTAAAAGTCACATTGAGCAATAAAACAACAATCACACTTTAAAAGCCAGTTTGAAGAGGTAAGTTTGTGTAAGTTGAGGTCAGTGCAGTTTATGGAGCTAATTTCCTGCCATAACTCCACAAACAAACTAAACAGGTTTTACAAATGCCTCATGATTCACTAACAAACACAATGTGGTTTGCAAATTCAATTCAATACCTTTATTTATCCAGGTAAAATCCCATTGAATCAATGATCTCTTTTTCAAGGGAGATCTGCAGCAGTAGGTTCCACAAGAAGACATAAAAACATAAACAACAGAACAACAAAAGGACATCATACAGCAAAATGTACAGGGATTACAATTTACATATCTAACCACATGTACAGGTACCAAGAGCATCTGATTGAGTAGCATCCAACCGAGCTTTAAAAACATGTAGTGGTACTAGCTTGGTAATTTTCCATTCTTTTTGCAGACTGTTCCATGTTAGTGGAGCTGCACATCTAAAAGCTTTCTTCCCTAAGACAGTCCTAGCACTTGGCACATTTAATAAAACCACAGCATGCGATCTCAGGCAATAAGTACTTTCAATTCGCAGAGAGATCAGGGAGCAGATATAAGATGGTAGTTTATCCAACATGGCTTTGTAAATGAAAAAGTACCAGTGACTGAGCCTCCGTACAGTAAGTGATGGCATAACCGCCTTGGTATACAGGGTACAGTGATGCGTAAGTGCTTTACAATGTGTCAAAAATCTCAGAGCACTGTGATACGCAGCATCTAACTTGCTCAGGCAATAGGCATGTGCATTCATATATAACAAATCACCATAGTCCAGCACAGGTAAAAAGGTCACAGTGACTAGCCTTTTCCTGGCCTCAAGCGAGAAACAGGACTTATTTCTGTAAAAGAAACCTAGCCTAACCCTCAGCTTTTTAAGCAGGTTATTGACATGACATTTAAAAGTGAGACAATCATCAAGCCAGATACCCAGGTATTTGTAACAGGTAACCACTTCAAGTTTTATTCCTTGCGTAGTTACAATATCCAAAGCAGTCTCCGGTGTATTTTTAGCTTTAGAAAAGAGCATTACCTTGGTTTTATCCACATTTAAAAGAAGCTTTAGTTCAGAGAGCTGAGTCTGAATAATGTTAAAAACAGCCTGTAATTTAACACCAGCCTCGTTAATCGAGGGACCTGCACAGTACATCACGGTATCGTCCGCATAAAAATGTAAGGTTGCTCCTTCGACATTTTCACCTAAACTATTAATATAGATAGAGAACAATAGCGGACCTAAAACAGAACCTTGTGGTACACCATTAGTGATGTTTAACCACTCAGAAGACAGCCCATCAAAGTGAACACATTGGGACCTTTCAGAGAGGTAGTTTACAAACCACCCTAATGCATGGCTGGACATGCCTATACTGACCAGCCTCTGCTTCAAAATGCGATGATCGACGGTATCAAAAGCTTTGGATAGGTCAACAAATAGAGCTGCACAACTCTGCTTATTATCTAAAATACTCGTAATGTCATTCACCACTTTCATTGTGGCAGTGATGGTGCTATGTTGCTTTCTGAAGCCTGACTGATGTTTAGACAGGATGTCATTGTTACATAAAAACACCTTTACTTGTTCACTCTGTTGAGAGTTTTCATAGTATGTTTAATACTTAAAACGAAAGTTAGTTATAATCAAATATAATCAATTATATTCTTGTATAACCCACAATGAAAATGCTTCATATTTTAGGTTTTTCTATAGTTACAGTATAAACAAAACCAAGTGGTTTGTTAAGTTGAGTGTAAGGCCTATAAGAGTTATGGGTGTCTCTGATAAGAGAGTAGGCCGTTTTTTCCCTCTCCTCTGACAGCAGTTCACAGGGAGGGGGGCTCCTGACTGAAGGAGAAATACATTGAGGCCTCAAAAAGGTGGTTATGTCATAGCCATAGAATATGTCTGTTCATGTCCTGTTTTCTACACAAACATGGGAAGGTGTGTCTTAGGCCATAGCCAATAGAAGATGTTGGTTGGGAATAGAGGAGGTGTTTGTTTTTTGGGGTTTCGATCCGGTTTTTTGAGCATAAAGAGACTGGTTTTTTGAGAGAGCGCGAGAGAGAGGGGGGTTTCCCCTGGTATACTCTCTCCCGGTAGGCTTTGTCCTTCAGAGCTGGGTTAATAGCTCTCGGTAAGGTTCTCTCACACTTGGTAAATATCTCTCAAATTTCTTGGTTGTTGGCTGAGTGGAATGATTTGATGAGAGATGTGTTTGTGAATATTAGGACCGCCACCTGTGAGGACCTTCCTCCGAATTAATGCGGATAGGAATGGGTTTTTGAATGTTATTCCCGCCGTCTGTGTCGGAAAAAGTGTATGAATATTAGGACCGCCACCTGTGAGGACCTTCCTCCGAATTAATGCGGATAGGAATGGGTTTTTGAATGTTATTCCCGCCGTCTGTGTCGGAAAAAAGGTATGAAATGTATGTGAATTGATTTGGTGAATGAAAAGTTGAATGCGCTTTTTATTGTCACCGGTCTTTTTATGAGGAAATGCCTCTAAATTCTATCAGGAGATTTTAAAATGTCACAACTGAATTGGGCAGTTGAAATTAAACATTTTGGTAATAAATGTAAGACTGTGAATTAAAGTTTCATATTTGAACATGATCACAGCATCATTTTTTTTAGTATGATTATAATGTTGTAAAGAGAGAGGGTAAAAACCCTGTATTAGTTTGGACCTATTTTTTTTCAAATAAACTGATCCTACCTGTTGGACTGGGATAATTTAAAAGACACCTGTGCCCTCCTCTCCTGCTTCAAAGGTAAGACTGCACCCTGCCACACACACTTAGGTAGGAACACACTCCATTTACTGATAT